GAAATAAGACATTCTGGTAAAGACGAGTTCTTCATGGGGGCAATTCACAGGTCGCCAGTTGGACTAGTTCGCAGGAGAGCTCATCTCATCACTGTCTGCGGTAAAGGATAGGCAGGCGAGTGGTGAGAGAGTGAAACAAGCATAATGTGGGAATCTCAAATAAAGACAGTCCCTTGTCCTCGGGCAGGTCGCTGTGGCCTCGATCCGTTGTTGCTTATTCTTGTAGTCGACGTGCAGCATGGCGACATGCGGCTTGGGTGTAGGTCAGATCTGCCCAAATGGGCGCCATTCTTTCTTTTCCTGGGAGGCTAGGATCGCCGGGAGGTCGATATTGCAGCCGGACGGCAAGGCGAAGCAGGGGATAGTGGTGGAGGAACTTTTCGAAAAGTGTCGAGACAATGTGAGAAGAGACAGAGATATTGATGGACTCAGGTATCCGTATGGACTACCTGATCTACGGACCAGATCTCCTGAAAGTGATCACGATGGTGGAAAGATGGAGGTAGCCAACGTGGGAGCTGGTCATCGGTACCATGCCAGGTACAGTCTGCAAAGTTTAAGGAAGGCCAAGGGTTGACAGTTCGCAGAGTGAGGCGGGTGGAAGCTGTAGGTCTTCGTGCGTAAACAAGGTATCGTAGTGGTAGGGTGATATTGAGCTGAGGTCGATCTTGAAGATAATGACGACGAGGGTCTTGCGAGTGAGGCTTTGCAAGAAGGGATTTCAGGCGCAGATACGAAGGTCAAGAACAAAGATTGAGTGTTGATGGTACCTCAAGCTACCGGGCCGGTTCGAATACATAGAGTCTGGAGAAGACAGAGCAGACTGGTCAAGCTGAGATACGGATGCAGAAGTGAGGTGAAGGTGAGGGTGAGAAACGGAGACTTGCTTCCAATGCTTGGCAGCCATTCAAGACATTCAAGACATTCAAGACCAAGTGAGACTCTCGAGTCTCGAGAAAGGGCCGGACTACGGAACAGGGATTCCCTAGCCACTGGATTCTTAATTTTTCGTGCAGGTGGGCGGGACTGACGGCAAGGGAGAAGGAGGAGAGCAGGGACGTGCAATTGGTATCCGTACCATAGGATGGAGGATGGAGTCCTCCGCAGGTATGGATGGACTATGGACAGAAAGAGGGGGGCGTGAAATGAGCGTGTCGGTCCTCACACGGGGTGGTGAGTTGAAAATGAAGTGAACTTGTAAAGTTTGGATACCACACCCTGCCCTGCGGCCTGCGGCCTGCGACATGCCCTGCACTTGACTGCAGCCGTGGAAGTGGGGAATAGGAAGATTTTCAAGGGTACGTACTTCCCGAAGCCTTACCTAAGGCTTGGCAGGTACGTATCGTGAACTCTGAGGTGTCCCTCATCTCATGTATGTACGTAGGTACTCAAGTAGCTCGGTGCAAGGGAAGGTAGGTACCTACTGAGCACCGTCCGTCCTCTTACTGTCTTGATGAGGTCGAGGCAGGAAGTGGTTATTCGCAGCTGCCTTACTTCCCATTACCCATTACTTTACGCATTAGGTCCATCATACCTTAGGTACGTACAAACTACACTATTGAGGTAGCTTACGCGCGTGCAAGTGCTGTGCGGGTACATTCGGCAACCTCACCCCCCCTCCTTGCTTTCCCACCCCCCTTCAACGTCGAGTTCCTCTTGCGGCTTGCCCCAAGCTTCCCGTCAGGTCCCCTACCTTACCTCTGGTGCTTGGGCATATGGGATCACATCAACATCCTTCCTTGCCTCTTACCCTGTCCTTACCTGAGTTGCTCAGGAACCTCACCACGGGAAGTCATCGACGGCTTCTTCCATCAGTCCCTCCCTCCCTCTATCCTCACGCCTAGCCAGTGGCATTCGCAAAAAGAGAGCGAAAGGCAGACACAAAAACATAGAGACAGGCCGTCTACACTTCTCGCCTACCGCCCGAAGACTGCGACTCTCGCGTCGAAGCCACAGCCGAGAATCTGGGCACTCTGGACCACCAGCTTCTGCGCCAGACATGTCACCGTCGCCATGAACTCGCACACACGCATCCTCGAGACTTCACGGATACCTACCTGACCCCTGGTCCGCTGTCCTCCGTTTGCTTGTTGGCCACGTTCGAAATCCTCCGTTCATGCACCAATCTGTCAGCACTTTTTTTTTTTTCGTCCCCCCCCCCTTCACGGCTTTCCTTAAAGAAATCTCACCATCGGAACCTGCCTGTCTGAATCAGGCCAGGCACACACAGAACAAACTCTCTACGTGCTGCGGTAGACAGCGCAAGCAAACATGGCAGCCCTGTTCTGCCCAGCTCCGCCAAATGAGAATTATTCGTTTTTCAGGGCCGCTGTTTGCCTGTCTGCTGTCATTGGCAATGCTATTCAGAGGCACCGATTTGATCGTCGCCATGGGCTTCTATGTTCGGCATTACCTCAGCCCTGTCGTCTCGAGAACGAAAGCTCCTCAATCCAGTCCAAATCCAACAGAGCAACGCCAAGGAGCTCTTTGCAGGACAAGGAAGGCAAGCCACCTATTCGCACACATCAGGTTCCTGCGAACCACGGGAATCAACCATGTCGATGTAGATTCGGGCGACGGATGCTATCGATCACGGCTGCTGAGGGCCTCGTATTGAGCCTCCCACCTCCCGCCTCATTTTAAATGTCCCATCTCAGCATCAGGCTGTGTGGCTTGTACCCACCCTGCCACCTCAACTCAGAGGCTCACCCGCCATACGGATCCAGGCACAATCAACACCCATGGCGTCCCCGAGCTTTGACAGCTCGCAACAATGCCTTTTTCTCCGTCCGTTTCGAACGTCTCCGTGCTCTCTTCACCCGCCAACCCCAGTATGCTATACCGGCTTGGCACCGCCGCAAAGCCGTACTCCCAGTACCCTTCCCGTCGCCCGTAAACCACCGGGCCAGTTTCGGGAGAAAACATCTTTCATCACGATCTAATGACTAGACTGGCATAACAGTTACCCCACGCACTCACTCCTGGTTCCTAGCTGGCGCAGGTAACTCGGATTTTCCACAGTCGGCAACAACATGAAGAGGCTTCGGCCCTTCACCATCAACCTTGTGACCACCCATCTGCTTGGCCGAGTCCCTATGCTCTTCATCAGCGCCCGTGAGGATCCGAGACTCAAATTCTCACTCTCGGCAAATGGACCAATGGTTGCGTTTACGGCGTTGGCCGCCCACCGTTGGACTGACGATTCGAGAATCCTCACGCTACACAGTCTCCACGAAGGGTGGGAACGGCGGTTCAGTCGAATGATGGCACCTTAATAGATGATCCTTTTGCATCGCCAAAACCTCCGAGCTGCAATGACAGGGGGAAAAGAAGGCAGAGGCTGCAGTGCTGTGCCTTGTCTTTCGCAACTCAGCATCATAATCGGAACTTCAGGGCTGTGCTGCCTCCGGTGGTCCCCGGTGGCTCCCTACTCTCCACCTGGCCCTGCGATCTGTCGGGGTCACGCTGCGATTATGGATCTCAGATTGGCTCTACCACAGAGCCCCATGTGTTTGCCAGCCGGCTCAAGACTCAAGTATCCTGACGTCGCAGCGACAGGAGTTGCTCAACTCTCCCGGCCCGCACTCTGGAAATTACGCGACACGGCCCATCTCGCAGCTGCATCACGATAATACTGGAATCTGACATATCCGTCCTTAAGCAATTTTGGTATGTTAACCCACGGCCAGGCAACTGGAGGCAAACCCAAATCTTCTCTATGTTTTCGCTGTTCTCGGCGACACTCCGAGGCAGATCTTGCCAGCTTTTTTTTTTTTTTTTTTTTCCCAAGTGCGGCAGCAGCATTTTGATGCCAAAGCTTCCCGTCCCCCCCCCCCCAAAATGTGTATCCAGTCCTCTACGAATCCACGCTCTTCACGGCCATTATCACGGATACGCACGTTTGGAGAGAACAGTGCACGCAAGGGATTTCGCAAACCTGGTCGAGACCTATTGGGAAGTAGCCAGCCAACCTACTGCCGCCGCCATCGAGGGTTGCCTTTCGCGGACATATTACAACAAGCCGAGCTGGCCACTACCATAGATAGCGTGAGAGAACTCCTTGCCGATGGATACCGCAATAGGCTGGGAGACAGACGATATGAGGCTATGTTGTTCACAGCACGCTAGGCGTGGCAACCGCGTAACTCTGTTGACTTGATTTTTCGAGATCCGACAGGTGTGGAGTTGTGTAAGCTCTAAACCTCTTTTTTGTTCATCGACCATTTTGCGATTCCATGCACAATGACAATCTACTGCGGGGGTTGCACAAGAGTCACATCTTCGGCACTGGACCTGGCCTTATGCAAGCCATGCAGAGACATCGAGAGTGGTATCGAACGCAGTTGTGACGCTGGTACTCCGTAGCCACTGCGAAAGTGCTTGGGTGCAATCCACACCCGTTGACGGCACCACGGCAAAAGCAAGCAAGACGAAACCATGGCATTTAGAAACAGGCTCACTTTGCCATATCCGCTTTGCTGACGAGTCAAATCCAATTAGACTCTAAGACTCAAGAGTCCAGCTTCCCGTTACCGCTGTTGCTTGGAGGCTCTTTAGCCACTCAACCACTGAATCAAGTGGATCAAATTCGAAAGAATTTCTTCAATGCTGGAGGCATATGAATGTGCAACCCCTTGACGGATCACATTTCTGCCAGTCACGATGGCAGTCGGTACACTCTCGGTATTTCCTCATCGGGTCAGTCCCAAACAAGGACAAAGTTATTGAGCTGATCCATTTATTTGCCCGCAGGCGAATCCTCCCGTGAGACTGTGCTAGTTCTCCTATCCAGACATTGTAGCACCCGCGTGTCATGGCTCGCATGCGGTTCGTCACATATCACATTGACAGTGACCAATCAAGTCTGGAGAGACTTCCGCGGGCTTGGCACACACACACTGCTACTGCTGCAATACGACTTGGGACTTCACCTGCGACCTCCGTTCTCCTGGACACTACGGACGTACTGCATCGTGTAATCGGCCATCCGCACATCTGCATCACGGCAGCGCGAAAGTGACACATGATTTGATCCACTCAGATAGCTTCCAATTACGAGTTACCGAGATATCAATCACTTGGGGGAATTCCCGGTCAGTACGAAGATCGAAATCGGGTGGCTTGACAGCTGGTTGACATAACCGCAAACTGCCAAACGCCAATAGTCTAAGCAAGTACTGTGTAGGTGACAATGTCGCCATAACCGATTTGTGGCTTGAACGCGCCGATTCCGCGCCACTCATTGGCGCGCACTATTTCAAATGTTCAGCTACCCTGTCGCCATCGCTGTTCTCCAGTCGTGTCTGTGGCCTATGACGAAAAGCGGTACGCATAGTTGCGCAGTCCACGAGGGTCTTCACGCAAGGTTTGACAGGCAACCAGGCAGTGAATGCAACAATTGACAACTGACTTATTCGTAGGATATTACTACGGCGGTGGGTTCCAGCTAGCTGAGCCCAGAAACATCACCGTCTCTTCAGAGTCTAGACCCCACCAATTGCCAGGGCTGTTGTGGATTACTGAACAGCTTTGCATGGCGGAGGAAGACGCTATGGAAAGATGAGTTCAATGGGTGCTACGCACCTCCAGAGCTGCTCAACTACACCACATCGGATGGACTATGAATAGGACCTGGTTGATATTGTTCTTGCTAAGTCTCGGGCATCAACAGCGATTAAATAACATTTTAGGCTTCCAGCTGACAACGACGCTCACGGTTCACTAAGCGCATAGCCTGGCAACGCAGTCTCGTCAAGGGACCCATCTCCATCATTTAGCAAGGGCCTCCCGAAACAAGCCTGTCCCGTGAAGCTGACGTTCTGGATGCTGTAATTCTTTTCCTGCTCAGAGCTTGAACCCAACAGATGGGTTCGTAACCCCGAGCAAAGTTGCAGAATGCATCACGATCCATACCTTCGGGTATGGAGGCACTGGGTAAACGGTACCACAGCAGGGTAGGGCAGCAAGGTAAGCAGCCAGCAGCCAGCATCACGACGAGCTGAGGTGACCCAGGCAGTACGCCAACCGGAACTGGGTTAGCGAAGCTGCAGGCGTGGGCTCCCGCGATCCGTGCACAGGTCCCAGAACTGTGGTTGAAGGGCGATCCCCCGGCTTGAACCACCCTTTGTGTAATTGGGTGCCCGACATGCTGGCCAGTATCAGGAACACTTTCCGGAAGGGATAATGGCAATGTGGTAGTAAGCAAGGGGTCAGTGGCGGAAACGAGTCGAAGAACCACAGTTGAAGAAAACGACAGATCAGATGTGCCTTTCCGGCCCTGTCCAGTTCCGGGTGGATGACGAGTTTTTCAGACGCTGGAAGAGCCATCAAGAGTACCAAGTTCATTGGCATTTGGAGGTTGCCAAAGTCGCTCTGGCCTTCCTTTCAAAGATCCAATCAACTGTCCGGAGAGACGGGGTTGTAGGTGACACTACCTTAGCCACGGGAGCGGCAACTCATACGGGCAGCGGGCTATATCCCAGGCTGGGAATAACTGGGCACAGGAAGGAGACCAACCTCCAGCGCCTCCCGAGTTCCAACCAGGTTCCATCGTTGGCGTCGCGCCGGGATCGATTACTATCGAAACTCCGCCCCGTTCGTACGACCATTGGAAGAATATTCGAGGCTTCAAGCACGAGCATGCCTACTCGCCCGCTCATAGACGATTCGGCACCTAGAAGGACCGACAAACTCTTCTAGCGGCGAAACACCATCCCGCCATAGTTTGGGTTAGACGGTCGGAGGAGGCGATATGCCGATGGGACGAAAAGAACTGCCTAGAATGCCGCTTCTTGTCGACCTGATGCAGGTCACAGGTGCAATACCGTTGCCCTGGCCACGTTGAGAGGGCTCATTTCCCCCTGAAAAGGGTCTCGTTTCAAAACATCGTCATTGCTGGTTTATTAGTGACTGACATTGCCAGGGCTTCATTGGAATACTCGACAATTACGGGCGAAATACCCCGGCCTTTCTAGTTACGAAGCTGATGACAGCAGGTAACCTATTGCCGCCCCCACGACCTGTCAAACGGCCTCGCCCTCTCCCTCGTCTTCCTCACATCCTGGTTCGCTGAATTGGCCGCTGCCAAATGTGGTACTGGCGCACTGCACAGTGCACTCTTGCACACATGTGTGGCTGGTGACAGGTGGTAGAGTGCTAGGGGTGCGACAAAGTCCTAATTGCGATTACGTGCCGCTGAGACTAAGGTTGGGATATCCAACGGACGACTGAAGTCAAAAATTGGGCCAAATAGGCTTAAACTTCACCGGATCTCACCTTAGCATTCGACTTGGCGGCTGTCAAGCTCAAAATGGCACAGCTCATCATTACCCATCGCCCTAACGACCCGTCCCGCTCTCTGTGGCTGCTGACTTTCACAGACGGCTTCCAACCGACGCATCGTACGAAGCGTTCGGCACCAAGCTTTTCTGCAACAATCTCCTGTTGAGAGGCAGGCATCATGCAAAGGTGAAGCTTAACAAAAACACATGAATTTCAGGGGCCTCCGGCGACCATAATGGGGTATCGTCATCTCCGTTGAGTCCGGTATCTTTTCGAGACACAAACCTCAACTAATACGCTCTGCACAGTCTGTGAAGCGGGCAGTATTGCAGATAAAGGACAGGGTTTCGCCAAACTGTGCGACGCTTCGACCGTTACAACAACATGACATGCTACGGCCGAGAACTTGATGGAAATAAGCGCCGCTTCTCAGTATGGAAAGACCTCACCTCGTACTCTCGCGACCATGACCGCAATGGATACTTTTCTCCAGTGTAATTCATCGCGCCAGGAAGGCTTCTCCACTGGGCCTGGGCTCATCCATTGGTATTTCAGCGGATTTTCGCGGGGCTCTCTCGGGGAGCGCGGCGTTTCCCTGCTTTTCCTAGCGGGTAACTCTGGGGCTCCTGAGCAATGGACAATTCTCATGAGGATTCGCACACACCAGAACCAGACCTTTTGATGACTTGGACCGGCCCGGGAAAACAAGAAATGGAAATTGAAACTGGCCCAATTGCACGCCCTCATCTCAGCCTTACAGATACAGCCATTTGACTTAGCATTAGCAGACGTTGAACCCCCTCAATAGGGGCCGTTTCTCAGATGAATCCGTACGATGAAATTGATCCAGACTGATTTTTTCGGGAAACGGTCAGCGCGTAGCCACAAGTCTGGTCTTTTACGGATAGTAGACCTGGACGACGGGTATTACGCCATATCATACACACCAGTATCCGTACTCCAGACGGGTACCTCCACTGCAGATGCTAACGAACCTAGAGGTTCCCCTGTACCATTGAGCATCGCGGGGGGTTTTGACTGATGCGCTGATGGCGAACCTTGCCTTGGTTACCGCGCGGCTTTCGGATTCTACGGGCGGAAGAGGAATAAAGTCAGATACCGTCTGGTCTTCCGATGACGCTCATCCGCCCCTCCGTTCTCTCCATCGGCAATCGCGCTGTGTCCCCTTCACCCGCTGATGAGGGACGGTGTGGATGAGGGCAAATTTTCAGCCTTTTGCGATCACATCTCAACTTTTTGAGATTATTTCGCAACTTTCCTACCTAACTTGGTCGGGAGAAGCGCAGGTCATGCCGCATGGATGACAGAATGGGCTTGCTAGGCACCGGGGAAGCAGGGTGCTCGACCCGCTAACCAGGACAGGGCCACTTCGGCTCTTGCAGGCAACGTGGTTCTTCTCCCTGTACAGCTTGGGTTGAGGGAATGGGCAAAGAGGCGCGTCATGGCTGAGCCGGGCCAATACCTTGGAGCGAGCGCTTTCAAGGCTCCTTAGCAACCAAGAACTCCTTACTTTCGCAAGTTGAACTCACCTGGGCTCATGTCACTTATCAGATGCTGGCCTCAGCTTCCAAGACGACGCATCCACTTTGCATCGCTGTCTGACAGGCTCAAACTATCTCGAGAGTCCACAAGGGACTTCTCGCTATGGGCCTGATATTGAACGAGATGGACGGTCAGGCGGATCGAGACGCTCGAACAACTTCATCATAATGATCAAAGTTGTCAACCTTCCATCTCGTGGTACCGGTCTATTCCGGGCCTCTTTGAAACATGGTAATACCGGCACCGCCCTCTAGAGTGGCACGCTCTCGGCCGTTGAGGCATCGGTATGCTCCGAAGGCGCCGCGCTGTGATCACAACTGTCAACAAAGTCCCCTGATTGACATCACGCGGATGACAGCTGGGTGGCCTGTTAGCGAGAGAAGACGCAATGATTGATTGAGGCAAAAGAGGCACCGTGGGCCACTTTTACCAGTTTTACCAGCATGCCAGCAAGCCCTGATCAGGGTCCAGGGGCTTGAGACGGGTCTTGACTCTTGGGGGGAAGACGGGCAGACCTGAAATCGGTGCATCTGCACGCACCGAAACTTGAACATTCCTGAGCCCATGGCTGCAAGGGGCATCTGAAGGCTCGACTCCGCCGCTCGGCCATTCGTAGACGATGGCAACCTTTCTTCTTCTGATCTCTCCACAGATCGATGGTAGCAGTTCCAGTGGGCAGGGAGGGGCTGGGGCAGATCACGGGAGTCTCGACTCAAGCACCTTGCCGTATGAAGGTTTGCGCGAGTGAATGTGGGCAGCCGGTCGGCTTAGGTATTCTCTGACTCTGACTTCGACTCTGACAGAGAAGCCATTTTCGTGGCGCTTCTTTTTGGCCACAAACGGTCAGCTGCCTACAAGTCCCAAGACTGTGGCAACCCACACCCTTCCCAGGCCCGCCTCGCCAGATCGCGGCACTGCCGATCTATGAGCTGAAGCTTCAGAGTGGCAGGATTCCAAGTTGCGGCCAATGGGAATTAGGGGGCGGTAGAACTCTCTGCACATCACCGAGATCTGATCGACTCGTGCGATGGGCGATATGACGCTAGACCTCTGGAATGTGGCTGCGTAAAATCTCTGGGCTTGGAGACTGTCAATGCCAGTGGACGCTGCTCCAAGAGCCTATTCACCACGGATATCGCTCACAAACATGACGATTCGTGGAGACGGTATAGTATCAAAATCAGAACCAGCATTGGCATCAGCTACCTAGCAGGGGAACAACAGAAATCGACCTGCTTTCACCTCTCGCGAGGCCGCCGAATGAGATGTGATATGGTGTGTGGTTCTGTTGAGGGGACTTTCATTCGAGAGGGCGTGAGAGATGGTAAGTGATGGTATCCCTGACGAGTCCAAGTAGGAGTCGAGTATCTAGTGTCTGAACACCCACTAACAAAGCAGTCGATATGTGAGATATTTCACTCTTCTATGTGGACAGCCCACGAGTGGTGCGCTGTAGTTTTGGGGGGGAAAAGACTTATGGAAGCCGGAAGCCTCGTCCGAAGTACTAGCCGCTGTCGATTGTCCGACGTCGAAGGGATAACCTTGTATCAAAGCCGCAGGTCAGCCGACGACATGGACCTATTGGGGTGGGCCAGCCTCATCCAGTCGCGCGAACTGGGCTTGGATGGGAATGTTTCAATCCCAAGCATCACGATGCGATATGCGAAGCCGCCTTTTCGCGCACACATCGCCCGACCCCACCGGCAGGCATCTGGGAGTGTGATCTACGCACTTTTCCTAACCGAGACCAAGCTGGATCGCCGGGTGCTCAAGGGGACCAGGGGGGGAAGACGTCCTTAAGAGTTCGAAGTAACCAAACCAGACAAGCTGGGAGCTATGCGACATGGGATCCCTCCCCCCGGCGTCACAGAAGCCAGGGCCAAACCCGAGTCCAAGCTCCCAGTATCCTGGTCAGTCTAGTGGTGGACTGTGGCCCAGATCTCGGCTCTGAAAGCTTTCTCTTTCGTCTCTCTTGTCAAGAGTCTGCGAGATGTGTGTGTGTGTGCGCGCGCTTTGTGTGGGCAGCGGCACAGCGGTGGGGTTCTCTCCGATTATGACAGCCTTTTTGCTTTCTTCCTCACATTTCCACCCTGTGTGATGCAGGAGAAATGTGAGATGTGATTGAAGGGCTGAGATCTGCCCTGA